CGGTGCTTCCTCCATTCACGAGGCTATCAGGATCGCCTCTGAGGTCTATCATGAGCTCAAGTCGGTGATCAAGGCCCAAGTACGGTCAGGACGCCACCAACGTCGGTGATGAGGGTGGATTCGCCCCCAATATTCAAGACATGGATGAGGCCCTCTCCGTCCTCTTAGAGGCCATCAAGAAGTCTGGCCATGAGGATACCTGCCGTATTGGTTGCGATTTCGCTGCCTCTGAGATCTATGATGCCAAGACTGGCAAGTATGACCTCGACTTCAAGAACCCCGAGCCTCATGCCGATGCCGAGCTGACCGGTGATGAGTTCATCAAGTACCAGGAGGATCTTATGAACAAGTATCCTTTCGTCTTCATTGAGGATCCCTTCGATGAGAACGATTGGGCGACCTTCGCCAAGTTCACCGCCAAGGACGGTAAGGAGATCCAGATTGTCGGTGATGATCTTCTTGTTACCAACCCCAAGCGTATCCAAAAGGGTATCAACGAGAAGTCTGTGAACGCCCTTCTTCTCAAGGTTAACCAGATAGGTTCAATCACCGAGTCTATCGAGGCCAACAATATGGCCGTTAACGCCGGCTGGACCGTCATGGTTTCCCATCGTTCCGGTGAGACTGAGGATACCTTCATCGCCGATCTTGTCACTGGTCTTGGCACTTGCCAAATCAAGACTGGTGCCCCCTGCCGTACTGAGCGTCTTTGCAAGTACAACCAGCTTATGCGTATTGAGGAGGAGCTCGGTGATAAGGCCACCTACGCTGCTGGCCGCAACTTCCCTCGTTGCCAGTAAATAACATTCATTTGTTACTGTCGTTATTATCATTCTGGTGATGAATCGATGGATTATGGTAGAAAAGATGCTGCTTTATTCAGCGGTAGTCTGTTACTTTCTTTTCTCATTGCGACTGTTCTACACAACAACAATAAGAATCAGTGAATTTCGTGTCACAACGGACACAGATCAGGATTTGTGCTTTTCAATGAAAGGATGGATGGAGCAAGATTTGTC